GGTGTGATCCTCAAATACCCTGAGCGGAGCCCTTGGCGCCTCTTCCTTCCTCCTACAAAGCTCCCCTGCCCCGTCCCACTCCCCACTCCGCTGCTGGCCGTAGCCTGTGCAGCCCGTTGGCTCCCAGCTTGGACGCTGTTTCCTCTGGAAGCCTGCCCGGCCCCTCTCACCCGGCCAAGGTCCTCTGTTTAAATGCTGTCCAGTCCCTCCATGGCCCTCAGCACGCCCTTTGCCAACCTGCACCCTCAGTGAGTTGCTTCCCCACTGGCAGCTGAGCTCAGGTCTCCGCCTGCCTGTCTGTCTGTCTGTCTTGTTTACCAGTGTATCCCCTAGAACAGTGCCTGGTGCACAGAGGGTGCTCAGCCAGGGCTGTGCTGACTCTCTGAGCTGGGTAGGGACCCTCTGTGTGCAGAGTCCACAGTGATCCTCCTGCCACCCCAGCCCCTCCCATTGGTCATGACCTTTGCGTGGTGATGGTGGTGTCATTAAGTGGAGTAGCGGTTTGATCATGAGCTGTTCAGTCACACTGGGGCATCTTCTGTCCTCCTTCAGGCCAGGGCAGTAGGGACGGAGGCGGGGAGGGTCCTTTCTCCTAAGGGAGAACCCGGCCCCAGGGGGGGTGGCTCACCTCGGTGCTTTGTGACCACCTAGAGGGGGGGGGGGGGGGGGGGGGGGGGGGGGGAGGTGCAGGGGTTGATGGGTGGGGAAATCCCTCAGACTGGGGAGTGAGGAGTCAGAGAAGGCTGGATGGAGGGGGATGGGGAGTCCCACCCCCACCTCAGGCTTCATGATGTCAGACTCTGCCCGTGCCTTTCCCAGTCAGGGACAAAGGCCCACTGAGAGTGGGGTGGGGCTTGAACACCAGGGTTCCAGACAAGAGAGTGGCCTGGTGCTTGGGCTTTGGGAGAGGACACGGAGATCCTAGGGGACTCATGTCACAGCCTTCAGCGTCAAGACCAGCCACCTTGGGGTCTTGTGCCCGAGCAGTTTAGGGGGGTGGGTCTATCGTCTCTCTGGGTGTGAACTGAATGAAGGCTGTCCCTGGGGGCGAGATGTACACGTGAGTGAGTCCTCCCACAGAGGGCTCTATCGCTGAGATCTGCACTCAGGTCTCCAGCCCAAGGGAGGACTCGGGGACCGGAGAGCATGTGCCAGCAGAAAGGAGAGGTGCTACTCAGATCCAGCTACCAGTGCTACCTGATCATCGGATCCTTCCAGGCAAGGCAGGTGTGTTAGATTGCTAGGACTACTGTGACAAAGTCTTACAAACTGGGTGGTTGAAGAAACAGAGTTTATTGTCTCACAGCGCTGGAGGATAGAAGTCTCCATGTCCAC